ATAAAAAAATATAAAAAAAATATTCTAGCAGGTATATTTAGCTGCTGGACGGTTTAAGGGATACTATAAGTCTTGAACTACTTAGCAAGAAGAACTTGCTAAAAACACCCCAAACGATCAGAATTATTAAAGTCTTTGAGAATAAATCTTCTAAAAAGTTATTAAATTCTCTTGCAAATGATATTACAATACTAGAGCTAGAAAATTGTCATGAATATAATGATGAAATTTTTTTAAATCTGCCTAAAGCATTTACTACATTAGTGTGTGGTCATACTCTCTATCATGACTACTTTAAAAAAAAATAATAGACATAAGCAAAAAACTTGCCTATTTGTTTTACAAATAATGAAAAACTGGTATTAGCTAAAGCTCAGGATATAGATATGATAGAGGCAATAGAAAGTAAAAGTGAAAAAACCTCTAATCTAATAGAAATTGTAAGTAAATTATCTGTAAATGGTGGTAAATCTATTCTCTGAAGTGAAACAAAATCTATAGAATCTAAAAAAGTACAAGATTTAATAAAAGAACTGTTTATATCTCGTGAACCAAATGATAATAATGACAAAAAAAATAAAATCAGGAAATTGAACCTAAAAACTTTATTCCAGTTATACTATAATACAAGCCAAGCAGAAAAACATATAACCCGAGCCTACCAAGAAGAAATTAGATGTTGGTACCTATTTGCTGAAAAATTTAAAGAAAAGGTTAAAGAAATTAAAAATAATAACAGTAGGTTTAATAATCAACAAGCTAAAGGGTTAGTATATAGCAAAATTGTAACCAATATTCTAGGATTCACAAGAAAAAGCTTACATAAAAAAATAGCAAAAACTAAAAATATTATAAGTTGTTTGGTGAAAATTATAACTCTGAAACCAAAACAGTAATTAAGGGACTAGAATTAAAAAAAATAAAGCGAATTCAATCATATAGTGCAGATTATATTTCAAAACTTAATGTTATACAAATTTATAGTATTATAAAATATTTTAGCTAGCACAGATCACATTCTCCAAGTTGATGCCAATATGATATAAATATTTTTTATTAGTAAATTATATATAAATATAACTAGAAATTAAAAACTAATAAAAGTTTAGAGTATTACCATATTTGGGAAATATCTAAAGCAAGAGCAAATTCATGTAATCTTATATTTAATAATTTTCTCAATTAACTTTAGGGTTAGGTTATCTTATATTAAGGTTAGGTTAGATTTTAGATTGTTAAATATAAGCAAAATTGCCTTCTCAACATTTTTACTTAATCTACCTAAAGTAGATTTAGATTGCAATTTTTTCTATTTTTTGGTTTTTTCGTTTTTGTTTCTTGCTTTGCTTTACCAATGATTATCAAAATTCTATAATTTGATTAGCTGTGATTACGTGAAATTGCTTCCGCTTTAGATGACCCTCTTATTTGGAAATATCTCTGACTGTACCAGTAATCAATTGTTGTTTACAAAATATTTTTGTAATCACGTATTATACAAAGAAATAGACAAAAAATTTTAAAGTTACATTATTGATATGTTAATTATAATAATTATGTTAATATATTAAAAAGGAACGTTTGATAGTTGAAACACATTAAAAATGTAACTTTTTATTATTTAATGCATAAAAATTAAGTGTTTATTGCTATGCTTTGGACAATTATATAATTAAATTTATATATACATATTAAAGTTTATATATATCAACAAATTGACAAAAATGCTTGTTAAATATAGATATTCAATCAGATATCAGCCTAAGGATTATGTATATAAGACAGAGCACAGGTTTGTATAATAAAAAATTTTAGCCATGTATATATTATTTTTCTGCTAATATATAACAATAAATAAATATAACAATACATTAACAAATAAAAAAAGTCAAAATTATTTTGAAAAATAGCATATATTTAGAGGTTGGAAGTACAGATATAAAGTCTGTTACGAATACAATCACCATTCATATCTATATTGTAAAATATGCAAAAAAGTAGTAAATAGGATATATAGATGCTGTGAATATAATAGTTTTTTAAAGTAATTGAAGAATTAAGTAGTTAATATATGACAGAATAAATTATGCAGAGATCTTGTTCTCGGAATCATCAAAAAATGCAATAGTTATAATACAAACCATTATATCTATTCATAATATTGTTTATTTTATAAATGTCTATTGTGCACAAAAAAAAATTCGTTTTTTAATATTTTTGTTGATTTTTGTTGATTGGCTGTATTATTTATTTAATAAATTTTGAAATTATCAAATATGACTAATTCTAGTAGCCAGTCTCCAAGTTCTATAATAATCACATGAAACTTACTTGAAGAAAAAAAAAGAGCAGTGCAAGTTGACTTTGATCAAACAAATTACAAAACCTATAGTCTTAATTTGGACTGACTTATGCTTGTTCTCAAAGAAGAGTTTAATGACTTCAAAATGTAAATGAAGTGAAGTTGAATTGTTTTTCCTTGACAACTTTAATATACTCACACCTTTTCATAGTGGGATATTATTTACAGATATAATTACAACAAATATATCCTCGCTTGTTGTAAAGTACCTTTTTTCAGATATCAGCAGTAAGTATATATATAATAATTTATTTACTTTTATATATAGCCTTATTAGTTTTTTGTTTGTAGTTATAGTAAAATATAGGTTTTTATAAAATTCAGATATTTATAAAATACTACATTCTAGTGGCTCTTGGGTTTTGCTCCGAGAAGCTATTTATAAAAGCTTTAAGAAGTTGCAAACTTGCAATTTTTATTTTGTTACTAAAATTAACTCTGAATAAAAAAAAATCGAGAATGATTTTAGTTCAATAAATTAGTGGATAGAACAAATTCAAATAATAAAGGTGAATATTATCTAGACCTTAAAATTCAAATAAAGGGCAAAAAAGTATATAAAGACTGGTCCCTCAAGAAAGTTTTGAAGAAAATATATAATGATGCATTTGAGTCTATCGAATCAATGCCGATATTTGAAATAGAAAAAATTTTCAAATTAAACCCTCCACTTAATGATAATGATTTAAAATATTTTGAAGACAATCTTTGAAAAAAGATAAATATTTTTCACAATAAGGTTACAACAAATGAAGCAACTACACAAGAATTTATTTCAGTCTTTCTATCTTTAGCAGTTAACCATATACAAGTATATAATAATCTATTAACATAATTAATAGTAAAAGTTAAACTCGATAGAAGCTATAGCTATGGTGTTTTGGATTATAGTGTCTATATACAAAAAATCTCTATTTTAGTGACAGAAGCTAACTACATAAAAGCAAAAAAGCAATTGCGCAAACTTTAGTACAAATTCATAGTACTGCAAAATCACTACTGAGTAAACGAAAATGATCTAAACAAACTATGTTTGGTATCGTGATATCAAATTGTTCTTGATATTTTATCTAGTAGAATAGAATATTAAAATCTCTAAAAGCAAAAATAACTCAGAAGTACCCTTGTATTTTTGAAAATAATATAAAAGAAGCAAAAAGGTGATCTCATATATTGTAAGAATACTACAAGTACAAGCTTTCTCATTGAGCAAGAAAAAGCCATGTACAAAATGATTATGCACTGATGATAAGTTAGAATAGGTTTAATATTTTTTCATATTATTTTAAGTAAATAGCTAATAAAAAAGCCTTAAAATTGTTGTGTAACAAAGGTAATATAGTATAGTTTTTGATTATTATACTATTATATTAATCGATTAATTATTATATAATCAAATTATAGCAATCATAAGTTGCAACAGAATGAAGTTTCTCTGCACACAATTAGATTTAATTTTTTTGCTATATATTACTATATAAAATTCACATATCAAAGTTAATTGTAATAATTTTTATTACGATCAAAAAAGTTGTATATAAATTTTCAAACCAATACTTGATTATTCTTAGTGTATACTTCAATATTATTATTAAAGAAAAATGTTATTTATTCTAAAAACTACTATTCAAAAAAGAAAAGAGAAAGCCCAAAAATTTTTTCATATTTTTAGTAAGATAAAAATAAATAAAATAAAACAATAAAAACTTTTTTTGCATTAATAATTTTTAAATTAACTGTAGACCAAATTAACTATTGCTATTGCTATATAATATCTCAAATTCCTAACAGAATTATTAGTATAAGTCACGCTCACATGATTTTTCAAGTATAAATAACTATATATTTTACAGAATTTTTAATTTTTAAAAAATATAGTTACAATAAAGTTAATATAAATATAGTTAATATATTATTAATATATTATTAAAATATAATAATAATATTATTATAATATTTTTTAAATTAGTAATATATCAATTATATTTTTATTATATTTTATTTATATTATTAATATTTATTTTTTATATTATATTAATATATATTATACATATACTTATTATAT